CCAACTCATGAATGGTAGGGGACTTCAATACTCCACTGTCTCCATTAGCTAGGTCAACAGGGCAGAGAGTTAACAGAGAGACATTACCATTGAAATCTACCTGATGACTTTATATCCATGCTCAGGTACCAAGGAGCTCCGAAAGTAACCAAAAGTAATCAGATATATAGAGATTAGAAGCGCATGTGCAAACACCTTAATGTCAATTGCATTGAAAATGAATATTTCTGTATGAAACTGTGTATTTTAATAATGAAATGGAGATCTTTTTTAAAGGTTAAAACCTCATTTAGTTTTATGTCTTATAGGGTTTATACTGAGTACAATATTGTATAAATGTAATAATTCAACTGTAAACCTAAAAATTTACAGCCAATTTTGGAAAAGATGCATCTTAGCTCAGAAAATTGTTATTGACTATGTCAATGCTGTTGTAATGAAATTCTTCTTCTAAGCATGTGGTTATTAAATAAATAATTAACTGGGAAAAAACTTGAAACACTATTTTTTATGTGTATTAGTGTACTGCTTGCATGTATGTAAGTGCACCATGTGCATACAGTGCCTGCAGAGGCAAGAAGAGAATGTTGTATTCCCTGGAACGGAGTCAGATGATTGTTAGCCACTATGTGGGTTCTGGGAATAGAACCTGGGTCCTCTGGAAGAATAGCCAGTGTTCTTAACCACTGAGCAATCTCTCCAGCCTGTGAAAACCTTCTTGCATTACCAGGTGATAAATGCCACCTGATCATCACTGTTTGACTTCTGACCTTACTTTTTAAATAAACAGTATTTAACTTCTTTGTTTACATTAATTTGTGTTTGCAATTTTGCTTTATTCTATTTCTAAAATTTTTGTTTATTACTTTTATTTTATAGGTCTGAGTGTATTGCTTGCATGTAGGTAGGTGCACCATGCTGTACAGGGCTCCAGGAGTTCTGTAGATGGCATTAGAGCCCCTGAAACTGGAGATATGGACAGTTGTTAACTGCAATGTGGGTGCTGGGATCAAACCTAGGTCTTCTGCAAGAGCACCCAGTGCTCTTAAACCCTGAGTCATTTCTCCAGCTTCTTCATTTTTTTAAAAGTTACTTTTGTTATTTTTAAATTATGTGTGTATGTGTGAGGAGGGTGGTATATACCTGTGATTTTAGGTGCCTATGGAGAGCAAAAGATGATGTTGGATCCTCTGGAAATGGAGTTACAGGTGGCTGTGAGCCTGCTGGGAACTGAACTTGTGTCCTCTACAAGAGCACTACATGCTATTAACCACTGAGCAATCTCTGCAGTCCTATTAATTTTATTAATAAAATTGACTACTATCAGGGACTACTATCAGGATGACATTAGATCCTACTTGTAAAATGTGTAAATAAACAAATACTGTTTTTAAAATTTGTAATTATTGGCAATAATAATTAATTTTAAATTATTGTATTTTTTTCTTATTTAAAATTTCCAGTATTTGCTACATTGCTTATTAAGAACTATTAGGTTAATTTCTTCCAGAAAATTTGAGACTGGTATTATGACTCTCATTGTATTTCTGGTGAAGAAACATTCATCTTTATAAGTGACTTGTCCAAAATCATGTAAAGGATAAGTGTCTAAAAGAAAATGGAGCTAGTTTCCTCATGAAATAAAAGCTAGGGAAATCAAAATAAAATATAACTGTTGATATGTATGCATTCTTAAAGTTAAAATACTGAAGAAAATATAAGAACTGATAAATTAGGCAAAGAAAGACTGATAGTGAATTTCATTTTGGATTCTCTTTGTTAGCATTAATACAAATTGGGAAGCAGTTTTATACCATCATAACAATTAGTAATTTATTTTTTTGCTTTAGTTAGCTGCTAATATTGATATTCTAATAACCTAGCATTAATAT